ATCAATAAATTGTTATTGATAAATTGTATTTTTGGTGTCAAATCCATAACTTTTGAGCCAGTGAAGTTTAATAAATTTTCCCTGCATTTGGAAATTGAGGAAATTGATCAAAAAATGAAATATATATTTTATATAAAAAAAAAAGCACCAAATAAATAAACGCACCCCCAAAATGTACTATAAAACCCCAAAAGCATGCCATTTTAAAATAATAGAATTGAAATTCAATGAAACAAATTTTTAAGTTTTTTTTAACAAATATGAAATAGTTTGTTCAAGCGATTCTAGATGTAAAAAAAATTTAAAAATTGGAATGAACTTAAATTTCATTTTTTATCGATTTTTCAAAAAATTTATGTAGAGCAAAAAAGACAAATTTTCAAATTATAAAAAAATCCACAAATTAAGATATTGCGTAGCTGAAGACACCAACGCAGAGATATCTTATAGTTCAAATCTAAGAAGTTTAAAAATTTGTGGAAAAGACTCACCAGAGCTGCTGTTGACGGAAATTTAGAACAAATTTACATTTTTAAAAAATGGGATATGCATTGATAGTCTAAATTTTACAGTAAATTAAACTTCTTGCATACTTCATACGATAGTAAAAATCTTGTAAAAGCAAAATAAATAAGCATACCACATTCGAAAGTTGATACGGTGGAGAATTTCTGTTGATCGGCAGAGATCCGAATAGTAGAGATCCAGCAATAGTTGAAAGGAAAGAACTATGCAAGCTTCCGGACAAGGGATGATTATGATTACCTTGGTTTAGAATCAGAAAAATCCTGACTGTTTTATGAAAGGAAAATATGCTGTTTAAGGTTCCGCAAAATTTGTGTTAAAGCAACAGTTTTTTTTCTTCTTCTTTTTTTAGAGTACTTTCGGTTAATTAGCATTTTTTCAATTATTAAATTATTATAGCCTTAGACTTATCTATATCAAAATTTATATCAATATCTTCTATTATTATTAATGTCTATTTTTTCCTGCAATTACAAAAGCTGCTTCAGTACTTAAAGTATTAATTTATCAAGGTTTTAATAGCCATTTCAGCAAGTCTCAACTATTTTTTCCCCTTATTTAACTTATGCCCAAGCCTAACAGGAAAATTTTTCGTGTTTCATTTTTCGTTTTCAGTATTTATCGCCAAAGTGCTTAAGTTTTACTTCCTGCTGAAATTCAAAATACAAATAGCTTAAACAGATTTTACTTTTTCTCGATTTAATGTTGAAGGTATTTAATCATAGTAATTCTTAACACCCTTTATCTTTATTGTGTCGATCTTTTTTAAAGTTATATATTTGGAATTTATGACTAATTTAACTCGCTTTAAACCAGACACTCCTGCTTGCCACCCTGCAAGCTTCGAATTTTATATTTGTATTTTCTTAACTCTTTTGTGTCTCCTTTCATTTCCTTGAATGTTTTTTATCGTATTATTTTTTATTATTATTTATCATAATATACAAACTCAATTCTGTAAACATTGATCTGGAAAGCCTAAGGTTACTGATTTAATTTACTTCTTCTGTGTTTGTTCGTTTCTCCTTTATTTTATCACTAACTGAATACCCATTCTTCATACGAAAAAAAATAATAAGCATCACTAAATCAGTGAGGAGCAGCCAAACAAAGCCATGTGCAAAACGGTAAAACCAACACGAATAATAAATAAGAATGAAGCTAAGATAATTCCAATGTTTTTTGTTTGCTATTTTTTACCCTTTTCAGTGGCCTCCCACGCAATTAGATTAAGCATAACACGTATTTTGTAGTTCATGCCTCCAAAATAACGATAACAGTATTCAGTATCATCTAGCAGAATACTGTTGCTCAAGGTAACTCATATACTACAATCAAGCTACTTTCTCCTGTATCTTCGAGAGGCACTAAGACATCTAGGCATAAAATGGAAAAGTATTGATGCTGCAGTAATTTCCACATTTACTCGTAAAGCACTTTGTAACTGTAAAAGAGAGATACAGAGTGTATTTGGTATCTATAAAAACGGCACCAATTACCATGATAGCGTCTATTATGAAAACTAAGCATCATTCGTGCTAATAATAGTAGGGCGACTTTTTATTCTGTCTAAAGCAAATCTGTTCCCTTTCTCGATTAATTTGCTTTTTAGTATGTAGCTTTTTTCTACTTCCAATTAGTAACTATTACCAAAATTAGTGTTATCATTGACGCCAAACAGTACATATTTAACTTCACGTTGAATGACGTATTTTCATAGCATATGGTTTACTCGCAATATACCGTAACAAATATTAAAGCTAAAATGGAATTACAATATTTCTTTACGTTTTATTTTCTTAACTCCTCGGTTATTTAACGTTATTAGACTAAGCATAGTACGTATTCAGCAGTTCATCTCATCGAAATGAGGATTAACTGTATTCAATATCATCTAGAATAATATTGTTGCTCTGGCCAACTCTCTTATTTTAAATTTACCGCTATCAAGTTATTTTCTCCTGCACTAGTATCTTCGAAGGGAATAATATCTATCATCAGTAAAATATCTATCATAAAATTTTACAGTACTAGTGTTGCTGTAATCGGCACCAAACTTACTTAAAGCACTTTGTACCTATATGAGATTATATTCAAAACCTATTAAAACTGAGCCAATTACCATGATGGCAGTGGTGTTTACTACCAAATTAATTATCATAGGTGTCATTAAAAGTGTAGCCACTTTTTACGGTTCCTCATTACGAAGAAGTACATTTTCTCCTTTAATTTTACTTTTTAGTACATAAATTATTTCATTACATCAATTGGTAAACATTATCAAAATTAATTATCAGGGGCTACAATAATAATATTGGTGTTCTTATATGCTTCTCAATCAATTAGTTCAATTTCTCCATTAATGTTGCTTTTCAATACAATTTTTTCCCCTTCAATTACGTTAGTTTTAAATTATTTTGTTTTTTAGTAAACACGCTTTAAAAGCATAACTATAAACAAAATAAACACGTGGTTTCAAATAATCTTAGAAATGCTAATTTGGCAACGTACCTATGTTGGTGCTAGCATTTCTAACTGTAGTCAGAAACTGTTATCAAAATTGGGTGTTAACATTTCTAGCCTTAGAAATGCTAACACCTATGATGCCATGATCACGCTGATTATTCAGCATAACGAATAAGAAATAATTAAGCTTTACAAGACGCGTTATAAGCAACATTTTTTATTGGGTCTATAAGCTAACAAACATCACTAATGTTATCGTTAAAATAGTTGGCAAAACTAAATCGTCTATAATTTATTTTAAAACAATTATTGCTTCAGCTTAGCCAAAGAGGAAATTCCATTTTTTAAATGTTTCTGTATTAAAAATATATTTATGAAATCGGACTTCGTAATTTGCTTTGTACTCATTTACCTTCTTCATGTTGAAAGTCGCATTTTTAAAACTTACGGTAGAGTCACAATCCGGTATACAGACACATACAAATCCTTTATAGATAACAATGTATCAATAAATGTATTATTTTACGAAAGTAAAGTATTTCAGTATAAACATACAAATGGTGGAAATACTAAAGGTATCGTAATTTAACATGAAAACAACTTCAATATCTAATATCAGTATATAGTTTTCTTTCTATAATCAAAAACATTCAAATAAAAGAAATAGTTTCATCAGAAAATTTTAATTTGTGTAATGAAATTTTAACAAAATAAACAGGAAAAATTAACCAAAGTACTTTTCGTAAAGTTGTTTAATTTTTGTACAGTAATCAGAAAGGTGTCAAATAAAATACTTTTAGTGGCACTGACACATGAATTTGTAAAACAATTTCCAGAAATTTGCTTGTAGTAGAGGTGGGCAAAATGAGTCATCAAAAACATTCAAATCAGTTGAGTGATTTAAACCACTGATTCGAATAATTGGTTTGAATCAGTTAATAATTATAATGAATAATTATAAGTTTATATTGGTTTGTATTCAATACAAAATTTTAATTTTAATTTGAAAAAAAATTGCCAAGTTTCATTGCATATTAAATCCTTACAGATAAAAATCAGTGATTTGAGTCATGGAATTAAGTTGATTTGGATCACGTCACCCATTCGAATCAATTTCAAGATGATGATTCTGTGATTCAAACGATCGCCAGCCCTAGATTTTATTGTGTGTTTCTGTTCTAAGGAAATATCACCAGCACTTTATAATGCACCAAGCAAATTTCAAAAGTCTACAATCTGGTGTCTAATCTGCCTGATATTTTTTTTAGGTTCAGTACATTCTGTGTTAGCTTATATTCCCCCTGCCTGATTGGAAAATAAGAGAATAATTACTCAATCAGGCTGAATTTTCTTAGGTTAATTACAATAACCGCTTAATAAGGCAGTTTTTTCTTCAATTTCTCTACAAGGCTTGAAATAAATCAGGATAATTGAGCAAAAATTATACATTTTTTAAATTGTTCGAAAGTATGTCGACTCACGACAAAAGGCGTCAGGCTGATTAGAAAATGCTTCCAAAATAATCTGTTACATTTCAAAACTGTGGTTTGCATCAATTAGAAACCATACAAACCAATAAATCATTTATTGTTAAATACTTTGGTTACATATTAAAGGAAGAGCTTTTTTAATTTTTTTAAACTACAATTTCAACTGCTTTACGCAAAGCAAAATTTATAAAGACTTTTCTTGATAGAAAGTGATTTTTTATAGTCTTACTTTAAAATCTTTTGAAAATCTAATTTGTTATCTCACTCCGGTTCATATGCTCATAATTGCTAGTAAACTTTATTTGTTAAGTCCTCTAAAAGAACAAATTATGATTACACAGCCGAAAAAAAAATTGGGCTTATTTGGAGCTATTTAGGCTAATTCATACATTATTTTTAATTTAATTTGACAAAATGAAAAGTATTTTTTAATGCTTATTTTAATTCTTTACCACATTGATTGATAATTCCAGCGTTATAAGTAATTTTTTGTGATAAAAAGAAAACACAAGAATAATCTGAATTCCAAAATCACATTTATTTGCTCAAAGATTGAAAATAAAAATAGACAATATACAAGGTGGGTGAACCCACTATTCGACTAGGAAAATATAAGCATAAAAATGTATGCTTTTACAATATCAAAAAATATAATACCAATGAATTTAACAAAAATATATTACAGGCATAATTTAAAATAAAGATAATAATTTATCAACATTTTGCTGAGTGGATCACTTTTCTCATTTCAATACATTAAAAAAATAAATTCATTTTTACAAATTTGCACTCTCTTAATTTGCTTTCAGTTGAAAAATGCTAAAAAAAATTACACATCCAAGCCGAATTTCGATAGTCAAATTTAAATGAAATTCTTGACCATTCCTAAAAAAAAAGAAAGCTGGTTCGTCCGTGATTACATTTGTAAAAATAAACTAACTTATAAAAAAAATTTTTCCACTTGAGTAAACAATTTCTGAGAAAGTAATTGAATTGAATATTAAAAAAAATTTGAATTCTAAAAGTGTTTTTAGATAAATAAAATCAGAAACAGAACATTCTGATAAACGAGATTCATCGAAATTTAATGTATTAACAGTTAAAAGTAAATTGATATTTGTAAAGAAATAAAAACATGTGTTATAAAAGAAAAAGCATATTAGACTAATCATACTTATAATTTCGAAACATATTTTATTAACGCTATACAAGTTTTAATTTGTATAATAAATTCTTAGAAACATTTAAAGTTTAAGAGGGTTTCCTTTTTTTCTTCCTTTACTTGATTGTGATAACAGATTTAAATTTTATTTAATATGATTTTTTTCTAATACAGACCGAAAAATGTACATTTGGAGTGAAGCTAAATCCCATTTTGTAAGGTAAAACACTGGCTGAATTTAAAAAAATATTATTCAACCAAAAGTTACTATTGTTATAACGGTATTTAAAGTAGAGGGAGAGAGCTTATTTTATATTACATTAATTTATCACAGTAAAAAAAAGAGAGAAACTCTTTTGTCTATTTTTGAAGATATTTTTATACTATTAATTCTTTTTCGCAAAAAAAAATATGCATGGCTACGAAAACTTAATTTTTTATCATTTTTTAAAATAATCAAATAAACACAGACAGCTATTGATGCTTTTAAAAATATTATACGCGAAATGTTTTTAAATTTATACCGTTTAACTTTGATGTATATATGGAAGAGGGGGATTAGTTTTTTGTCAAAAAAAAAAACTTTGTTAAAAATAATGTTTAACTCGAGAAGTAATTTTTTCCAACAATAATTTGAACATTTTACTACATTCTTGTTTATATATGGATTTAAAAAGTTGATTAATTTTTCAATTAATTTTCTTAAAAGAAGTTTGTTTTTTGTTATCACTGCACGGGGTTAGTGTGGGCAATCCTGGTAATTTGCTAAGCTGCCATTTATTACAATTCAGAAAGGTGTATCTAAAGCCAAGATTAAATCAATTTCAATCTAAGTCTTATAGTGAATAATATTGACAGATGTTAATTAAAATACTAATTTGTAATAGAGCATTTCCTTGTAGTAAGAAAGATATTTTGAACGCTAATCAATGCGCTTGAAATGCATTGATTAAAATCTGCAAAGCAGTTATTCAAGTTGATTCATTTGATAAATATTATGACTTTTTTTTTTATCCAAAAATTGAAATATCAACTTTAAATAAGTATTGGGATGCAGTCCTGATAGTTCTAAAAGTCACCAGCAATGGAATAACTATTTTTTTGTGGAAATTTGAGAAATGTTTTTTTTTCCAGAAAAAATGAAAGATTTATTATTAGTTTAAATATATCCATCTTTTTTTCTTAAAATTTGAACATTAAAATCTCTAATTCTATAAAGAGCTTCCACTTTACCAACATTATTCACATGTTTTTTATTTTAAAAAAAAACTTGTTCATCACAAAGTAGTTAACTCTTATTGAGTCATTGTTGTCAAAATCTCTCAGTCGATTCATATCGATCTGACATCATTGCAATGTAAAACAAAAAAAAAAACTTCAGTTGCTAATTTATGTATGAAAAAATGCACTAAAGCTTTGTCCTCACTAGTCTCACGAAGAACTAGGTTTGTTTATGCCTAATGCTGATTAATGGAAACTATTCAGAGCAAAAGTTAACATTAAAATTTAAAAAAAAAAATTTAAAAAAGGAGGAAGAAAAAAGAAAAGCAGTATTATTCATTACATATTATAACTTTCATTCGAATAAAATGTGTTAATAAAAGAGAAATTTAGAAAGTTACTTTGGCACCTTAAAAAACTTATTTTGCAAATTTCAACTAAAGTATTCACAATGTGCAAGCAAATATTCATGGGATATGAACACAATTTACGATATCTCACAGAAGAGATTTGATTAATAAATAAAAAAGTTATTGAAGGTGTCCTCTTTAGTCCACCCTCCTTTCCCCAAAGGATATATTATATTCAAAATCTTAATCTATTTTCAGTTAAATACACGAGAAAAAAATCAGTCTATTTAGACTAAAAAATATTTGTTTTGGTTTAAAATTAATCTAATATTCTTCGAAAAGAGTTCAAAGAATAAATATTATTTTTCTAATTTTTTTTTGTTTTCTTCAGCATTTTTTCTCAAAGCATTTTATATATCAAAATACTTTAGGGGGGGAAAGAAACATTTTAAAAATACCATATTCTAACTATCTAAGTATTTACGTTGTTGAACTTTGATGGATATAGGGTAAACTGTAGTTTAAATGTTAGATGCAAATTCCTTTGTATTTCTATAATCATATACGCACATTCCTTTCATTAAAAATTCAGTTCTATTTTTTAAAGCAATATTTGCTATCATTTGTCTTCATGTGTTTCCAGTGGTTGAGAAGCGTGGAGTGAAGAGCGTATCTGTTGTTCTCTTATCCAAATAGTGATAGTGTCAGCTCTTCACTAAGAAGCCCAATTACAGTCTAGTTTTAATAGCACAAAGCAACAATCACATAAATTTCAGCTAATCTTATTCAAAATGAAATTATTTTTAATTTTTTATTTAAAAAAAAACAGCAAATATCACTTAATTTCACAGTTGCTTAATTTCAAAAAAATTAATTTTAAAATGTACTAAAACTAACTTTAAAAAAAAAAAAACATATTTCTCTACGATTTATCTCTTCCCTTTGAAACATTGTCTTATAAGAGGTTTAAAATTTACGATGTTTTGTCATATAACTTTTTAAGAAGTTATTTTAAAAAGGGTGATTCGGTATGTTATTCATAAATCTTCAGTCATTTATTGTAGGTCTCTGCTTTTCTTATTATCCAATATTTCATTATAAATAAGCAATATTCCATTACCTATATGAAAATTTTAAAGTTAAACGAATATCTAACAAAAACAATAGTTATTTCAATGAATATATTAATAGTTATTAATTTCATACGTGTAGTTCTTAAAACAGAAAATTTTTTTGTAGTATTTAACAATTTTAAAATTCTTGAAAACTATTTTTAGACTAGAAACTGAAGACCTTCTAAAGATAATAGTAGATATTATATTATTCAAGGTAATAAGTGAAAAGAAGGCAAATTATATTAAATGTTTGACACGATTGATTTCAAAATTCGCTCAATAATATAAAATAAAATTAAATATTTCTAACTGCTTAAACCTCTGTACTTTCGTTTTCTATCAAAATCAACTGCGAAAAAGTGCATACATTCACCTGATTAAAACCAATTCTATTAAAAAAATGTGTTCCTTTAAAATTAAATAAAAACTGAACTTTATTAATTAATTTTTTTTTTGCTTCCTAACATTCATATACCTGGTTTATGAAATATGGAATAAAAAAATTTCATGAATATGGAAATGGCTGTATTTCTTTAAAAAGAATACCAACTAAATTTCTTGATTCTCTTAACTTCTCTCAACTTGATTCCTTTAATTTTGTTTACCACAAATAATTATCGATTTACCAAGAACTATATCATCCATTTTCTGCCTAAAATTTGCTTTACTGCCTAAGTTTGCTAAAACAACAATATTAGTAACTGGTTAATAAAATAGCAGAAAATCTTTCATTCTAACTATTACCGATTGAACAAATTATAAAATGTAGTAGGCCAAAAAAAAAAAAAAACTTTTGATCTAAGGATCGGATATTCACGTTCTAGTACTCAATCTCAATGGTTCGAGGGGGTGACTTCAAATATGTTAATTAATATGTGCAGATGATACTTTAAAATACAAAATCAGACACTAAAACGTTCTTTCTCCAAATAAACATAGCTGCTTTTTAACGGGTTTTTATTTCTGACCTCCAAATTATAGGGGGTAGCCGCAATCTAAGAAATACTGTCCCAATAGTTTGAACAGGAGAGAGCTCCAAAGTTTGGTCCCCTTAATGTTGATTTTACTTTTCGCGTATTTCGCTATATCTCGAGAACTTTGTAGCAGAATTGGAAATCTTTCGCACACAATCATAAAATTCGTTTATTCAAAGATAAATTCATGCAACAATACATTTCAATAAGTATTTATTAGTTTTATTATTTATTTAATAATGATCGAAAAAAATTTGATTTGTAAGGAACATAAATCACATCATTTTAAAGAATATAATTTTACATGGCAAAATAAATAAATTTCAAAGTTTCCAGATATTTAAAATTCAATTTCTATTAAACTATTTGGCCAATTGTGCTCAAATTTTGTGTTTTGCTTTGTAAAATTATGTTCTTTAAAATTATGCAAAAAATATTGTGTACCTTGCAATTTAAAATTTTTTCGACCATTAGAAAATAAAATAATAAAATACATAAATATTTACTAAAAGTTATATTTTCCATGGAATTATTTTCGTATAAATGAATTTTCTAATTGCTGTGCAATAATTTTTTAATTCTGTCAAAAATTTCTCGAAATACGCTGGAAAAGAAAATTAACATCCTAACTTTGGAGAGCTCTCCTGACCTAACTATAGGGACCCCAAGAGTGCGGCTGGTGATTGTGACACAAAGTGAAACACCCTAAAAATTTTATTTCCAAAAAATCGATATCAATTTATTTAAGATACATGCTTCGTCTTTAAGATGATTTTTTGCAATTAGATAAATAATTAAATTACCTACAAAGGAAGAATCACGTTCTTACAAGAATCATGATTTTCGATTTTAAAATCACTCGAATATAAATCGTAATATTGAACTTTAATATTGCATGAATTGAAATCGCTGCATTGGATTTTAAAAACGAGAGAATATGAATCGCGACAGTGGTTTTTTAAAAACAAGTGAATACGAATCGCGCTTCATGTTTTTCAGATTGCGTGAATACGAATAGCAATGAGTAACTTTTAAATTACGTATCAACACGAAATCGATGTTT